GGAACTCATGTATATTTTCGAAAAAGAACTAATAGCGAGTGTAAGTTTAAATAGAGATTTTTGAATACATCGCCCTAGCAAAGGAAGATGGTACGTAAGTAATATCACTACTTAGATCATTCGGAAACCGTGTAGATACTAACTAATCTAATTATTGCGGATTTTGAGTTTTCATGCAGCGAAAGGATCTTATTGTAAGTGTCACTTGTTAAGGCGGCCATATTTTTGATCTAGCAGAATTAGAATAGGATGGATATAGAAGAATATGAGCTTATTGAGATATGAGTGTAAATATTAGGTGGATGATGGTGTGTGTGGTTGAGGATGTGCTTATGAGTGATTCTTCTTCACATTCACCATATGATGCGTTCTAAGACTATCCACAGAAACTGAATTAAGCATCAGAAGAGGAATTATAGAGATATAGGTTATATCGAAGATATAAGAAATATTGGAAATATAAGAGATATTACATGAACACACGCGACAGTGCACATAGCGCATTCATTCTGTCGATTATATAGTTATATTTTTTTTGTTTTCTGGAAGATGTTTTCAATGCAATTTATAGACAAGTGTCCAGATTCATGAAATAATGGAGATATTGTACGAAAACAATCTGCAAAATACATGACCCCTTTGTGATAGAATATCCTTTCATAAGAAATAAGCTTCTTTTAATTAACGGTACGGCCGAGAGATTAGACGAGTAGCTGTCATAAATTAATTTCTCGCCGATACGAAACCTAAATTACTAATTTTCAGAGGAAAATATGGCTTGTCTTCAGCGCATTGACCTGAAAAATCTTAACAGAATTAAGTTATTAGCTTTTCTGTTGTTTAAAAATCCTCAAAATGCTTCAAATCGTTCTGGTACTTTGAGAAAGAAAATATACAGGACATAATTGGAGATCCCGCGTTAGAAATTGTTATATCTGGACGTATATGAAGACTACCAGAACTCATATACTAGTACTTCATTGAGTTTTTCGAAAATGCTTAAAGCGCATCTAATCAGAACCACCCACACCTTCTAGTACGATTCGTCAAAAGTGCCAATACAGAAAAAGAAAATAAAGCATTCGGTTCATTGGGAATTGAGAAAGAAATTTTTTTATTTATTTATTCAAGGACATTTGTGTCCTGAGTGACAAAGGTACTTGGTAGTTGTTGCACTACTCGAGTATTGCTAAAAATATATGTTTCGTTAAGATTATTTAAGGTAATTCTTTTCATCAATCACACAATCATGGCAATATTTGAAAAGCAGAAAATAAACAAATCGAACAGGGCAAATAAATAATGTTAATAATACATTGTCGATTTGTATAAAGAAATCGATACAAGAAAAGAAAAAGAACCAATTGAAAATATTTTGCGGATTCTTTTTAAGGATTAGATATTTACTTCAAAACAACACACACATAATCAATTCATTCATTTTGCCAGCGAAAGAAAATTCAATTATAAATCTCATTATACAATCATGCATAATTTTCTTAGGCTTTAAAGAAAATGTGATCGTTTTCTTCTAAAGAATGGTCGATTACAAATCGATAAAAAAAAATCAATGGATATAAATCTCAGAAAGAAAATATATATTTTATGAGACTCATATTTCATCGATATTTCATTCTATGAGACATATGTCTTCTAAAAAGCGAAAATTCACGATAAAACTCGTTTAAGAAATTAAAAATAAACTTCTGAATTTGATTACATATTTCGGAGACCTTTTTACAACGATGCAAATTTTTTCTTTCATCGGATGAATTGGTATACTTTATTAAATCTTTCTCAGTTCGATATATATATATATGTTTATATGTGATATTTTTTTTTTCTAGAATGAAACCAATATGAATGTTATCATTAACTAGAACTAAGATTTCATTTTTTCGCCATACACATATTGATTATTTATTTTTTGATAAATAAATTCGAAATAATTTGGAAACGAAAGCAAAAACTCTTTTTGTTTATTGTCTCGAAAAAAAAAAACAAACACTTACTTGTAGCTGTTGTTGATGTTGATACAGAAGATTTAGGTACTATTTACCAATTGATTGATTCAAAAAAATTCAATTAGTAATAAATAGAGAATGAAAAACAAAAAATTATACGCACATAATGCAACAAGAAGAATGCCGATGATTGTCGATAAAGCAAGAGCAGCAAAGAGCAGACAACAAAAGCAAAACCATGGTGATAAAATCCTATACTTCCTAAATAGAAAGATTCAAATCGATTACGAATAGCAAAAAAAGAATTTTTTTTTAAAGATTTTTGAAAATTTTTTTCGAAAGCAGCTTCAAGTTAAACTGGTTAAATAGAACAGGAACATATTTCGCATAATTTCTCATTTACAGACTATTGCTCTTATATAAAGTGGCGAAGCACTTCCTCTATCCGAACATCTATCAGATCTTTCACATAAAACAAGAACGAAACTGTAAATTTGAATAATAACAGTAAAAATGTTATAAACAATATATATTGAAGTTGTTAACATAAATCATGATGTTTTTCAATGTTCATGTAAAACTATAGCTAGCAATAATTCATCTACCTTCTTTTTTTCTTATTCACTTCAGACAGTCCATCAAATGCATTCGAATGACCAACGATGATCGGTAGTGAGATATTTTTTCTTCGATTTGTCCATCTGTGATGTGACTAAAATGCAAAAATTAAAACTCAACAAATTTCCTTGAATTGATTTTCGTATATGTGGATAGACTAACTTTGACGGTTTCAGTATCAATACGCATGGAATTATCGACAGATGGAACGCCTGCATGACTGATGCGTCTAACACGACGATGATAGGAACCCGAAAACACACGCTGAAATTTCTTGACTTTTGCAGTTTCATGTTTCAAACTCCTTTCACGACTCGTTCGACGAATTCGAGTGACACGTGGTTGATATGGAGTTGATGATACACGAGATAAATTGAGGATTGATGGAGATTGATAATTGACATTGTTGACAGATTGACGATTACTTTCATTCAATTGGTTGATTGGAGTTTGATTAGTAGGTGAGATGCGCGAGAATTTCATCAGTTGTTCCTTACTTAATAACAGAATGAAATAAATTGATTATTTCTTATTTTTTTTCATTTGATTCTTCACTTAATATACATACAAATTTTAAGGGTTTCTTCTTACTTGACATATTCACAAAAGCAATATTGTCAACAATAAATCTGATTGATTTTTTTTTTCAGTTGAAAATGAAGTTCAAAAATGGAAATTGACCGTACACAGCATTCAAAGTGAACTTTCCAACAATCAAAAAGAAAAATTCTATCCCTATGAAATCCTCAGCTATAATGATAGCATAGAACAAATATCAATCATATCGATGATAAATATGCTCTACAATACGCTAGCAGAAAACATATGATCTCTACTGAAATATGTAAGTAAGGTACTAGAAATATCAAATTAAAGTAGAGTTTTTCTTCTCTTTATATATGATTAGATAAAGTATGACGAGTTGATTAACAATATGGGAGATTTATGGAATGAATTTCATGCTTTTTTTAGGTGACCTACTTTTGTTGTTTCAAAAAAGGTCAACTTTCGATAGAGGACACTTTTTCAATTTAATAATGATTATTATATACTTACTGGAATCCATAAATCTGATTTTGATATTTTAACATTATTTTTGATTTCCAATGATATTTGAGAGTACAGTGAATGAGAAATTCTTTTTGCCATATATTCATATATATATGTCGAATTGCTGAAACTCTATCAATTATATGCTATCACAAATAGTGGCATATTGATTTTAGAGATTTTATACTCAAAGTTTCGATATTTTACATTAAAAAACTTGTCAAATTTACTCTTCATTTCGTCAGTTTCTCACAATTGTTAGGATCTATGGGGGAGGTGAGGAGTTACTAGAGTCTGTAATGAAGGAGAAACAGCAACAACCTCGATTTGAACTTACAGCAATGATCAACTTCATTCACTGTCTATGCAAGGATACAATTATTAATAGTTAGCCAAGTGTGACTATTCTAGAAAAGGTTTTGTATTTTTATCTGATCCTTAAATGAATAAAATATGTAATTATGAATATAACATATTTTTTTTAAGACAATGTAAGAATTTTGAATATACAGATCGTCGCAAAAGTTCATCAAATATAAGTCTAAAAGAATTAGTTTCTATTCAAATGATACTTACATGGAAATTGATAACTTTTAATCGATTAGACAGTAATAAGTCTCATGATTTTTCAAACAAAATCAATATTTATTAACATTAACAACGTTGAAAATGATGAAATTGAATTATTAAACTTATAAAACAAATCTTCATCAATTTGAACAAGAATTAAATAAATTAGAAAAAGATTTGAAAAAACTTTAACATGAACAACAAAATGCTGAATTTAAACTTCATTTGAATAATGACCAGTTAGTTGAGTTCACAAGCAACCTATTATTGTTCGATGGCTTCTGTTTTTTTTTTTAAAGTTTATACGTACCTAAAACCATAGCACGATGGAAAAGTCATATCGCAATAACGATGACAGTCTTAGTGAGATCTCGGTCTGGATAGTGAATGATTCTTCGTGAACTCCAAGACAAGCATGTCAAAGTCCTAACCATCAATGTTAATAGAACATAATAGAAAATTTTCGATTTTCAGAGAGAAAAAAAAAACAATTAAAAATTTGTCAATATCAAAAGTAATTACACTTGACGAGAGAACATACTTGCCTTTCTTTACCAATAAAAAATGAAAAGTTGGTATACAAATACATGAGCACATTACACATGCATATATCGTCACTTCACCTATTCCTATCGCCATACAATCGAAATATGAAAAAAGAAAAAGAAAAAGAAAAGAAAAAGCAAGAAAAAAAAATACAAAACAACAAGCATTTTACGTCATTATTGAGTAAATATCGTATAATTGCTGCATTCATACTGAGTGCTTTTTACATTTTTTTTTATTTTCACTTAAGTAATGTCTACATGTGTATTCGAATTTTTTCCTGTCGAATTAATGCATGGCATTTTTCATTATCTATCAGCTCATGAAATTTTCTATGCATTTGATCAGTTAAGTGCTCGTATAGATCGTGTTCTTGTTGGTTATGATCGTTATTCGATTACTTTGACATCTATGCTTAAATATCAATTTGATCTTATGTGTCGTCTTATTCAACCAGAACAAGTTATATCAATTACAATTGCTGAAAATGATGATACACCAGATCAATCGAAATTATTCTTTTCAAAATTTGATATTCAACAATTTATTAATCTTCGTTCATTTGGTATTATTTCATCGGATCAAAGTATTTTTCTACAATTAAATCTTTTATGTCAATTTAATAATTTTCAATCATTAACTTTACCAAATGTTTCACAGGCTTATTGGTGTCTTTTTGGATCTCGTGTAGAAACAACCCTACCTCGACTAAGAAAATTAATTACAAATCAATATCCATTAACAGAACCGTTGAACAATTTGAGATACTTAACAGTCACACATTATTATTGTCATAATTTGGAATATTTACTTTGTCAAATGGCCAAGTTACGTTCGTTGAATATTACTATATCTCTTAATATATCTACCAATTGGTCTAAAAGAATACCAGTGATGAATCATCTAAGACGGCTGACATTTTGCATTTACTGTAAGATAATATAGATGCTAAGTTAAAGTTTTAAAAATTTATTTGTTATCTTTCTATTTTAACGATAAGATGGCCGATTGACAATGAGTCGAATGAGTCAATTTCTATCGAAAATGCCTTGTTTAATGCATTTTGAACTTCGAATTGATGATCCAATGGATATTGTCGGTGGTAAACAGTGGGAAATGTGGTTTCAACATTCAAATGTTGATATTGAAGATGCAAAAGATATGGTTGATGGTCATCAATGGAAATATTTAGTATCACATCTTCAAACATTCGATTTTCATTTTTATCTTTCGGATAGATCCGACGAAAAGATTCTTGATTCATTTCGATCATCATTTTGGCTCGAACAAAAACAATGGTTTGTTGCCTATGATGATCATCAATCATTACCACGTCTCTTTACCGTACCTCGTTTTGCACCGAAGAATATCATTTATTCATCGGACTATCGTACACCATTATGTACATCATCCGATCTATGTCTTGATAAATTTGTTGATATTATCACATTGCCTATGGCCTATCCATTGACGCATCGTTTTATCAATGTGACATCGCTAATACTCCAAACAGACGATAATCTTAGCTTGGATACAATTTTGCCATTTTTGAGATTACCTCATTTACAGTCACTTTCAGTAGTCAGTTCAACGTTAGTGACTCAACTGTTGACAGAAACAATGTTTGAATCAATTCGTTCATTGAAAATAGATACTATAGTAACGAGACCGTATGCTGAACAAATATGCATCGTATTTCCACGATTAGAACGTTTACAAATCGGAATCAATGATCAAGATACAATGCTATTATTAATTGATGGATTGAAACATTTGTCGATTGTCATATTTGTATATTCTCAATCATCATTTTTCCAATCTTTGACACATGAATGGTTTGTTCAAAATTCTTCACGATTGATGGCAAACAATAATTTTACATGTCGTATCAACTACGAGAAAATATATTTATGGATGAGCGTCGAATAGTTGTGCACTACTCTCGTTGGAAATCGAAAATATTATATATTTTTTTTTTTGTTTAGTCAAGATTTAAGACTCTTTCATTCTGTCTCACCATAAGGAATCTTTGTTCATTCTGACAAGCATTGTTTTCTTATAATATTAAACACGAAGAATGCAAGTGATGAAAGCATTTTTAAAAATACTTGTAATACCGTTCAAATTTGATTTGAGAATAATGAAAAAGAGTCTAATTTTGTGACTATGAAAATTAAAACAATAGTAACTTCTTTGATCAGAATTCCAAATTACAACATCGTTCCAAAGATAAGTATGTGCTTTTTCATAGTTCATGTTTTCTTTTTTGTTTTTGGTCAAGATTTTATCACTTCGATAAAAATAAAGATTTGCTAGAATTACAATAACATGGATGATAAATAAAAATTTGGCTGAATAAAATCAATTGTTAAATAGGCATGTGATCAGCTTCAATCTTTTCTAATTCATTACACAAAACAATTTTCTATATGATGATAATCAATGCACGCCTAAAAGAATAAATCAAATATCTTTACTGTCTTGAAAATAAATGTTCATATTATACAATAATTTTTACGCCTATTACACAGCACTCAGGAATCGTAAAATTCAAACAAATTTCATCTTTTTAGTTATTTCAGAAACATTAAAATTATTTGATTAGTTTTATTATGTTGACATCATTCTCATTTCATGCATCCATTTGTTATTTCACCAACAATTAAACTAACTACATTAGCTTTATTACTTTTGTATTCTTTTCATAGCAAAATTTGCATTATTTCAAAAAACTATAGAATCATCACATTCTTTGATTACTTTCACATTATGATTACTCCATTATTTTGATTGTTTTGCAAACAAAAATCATTACACTAGTTACATTTGAAACATTCAATTTCAATCTTATCAACAAATGTATCTTTATACATATCGCTTTTTTTAACAAACGAAATGTGTTAAGACAGAGATCATGTCATGCTCTGTGTTTGATAAAGTTTGTGAAGTATTTTTAATACTATATATACCAGAGATGGGATCGGTTCGGTTCGAAACTTTTAAAATACATCTCGGTTTTTGTTCGGTTTGTTTCTTAGTTAAATTGATATAGTTTAAGTCAATGTTTTGACATATAAAACAAGAAACTAGAAAGAGAAAAGAGGTTCTTAGTAACAATAACAATATTGATACATTTTTTTTGTCATTCTTCTTCGTCTAAGAAAAGAGGACGTAGATAAACCAATTATGCCTTTAGTTTAGAAAAAACATTTAGATACTTTTATTTTAAATTCAATACAATATGAATATTTCTCCTTTAATAAATATAGATAATGTTATTGAACTTGATTCTTCCTCATATTGTGAAAATGTTCAATTAAATGCTTCATCTTTTTCATCGATTCATGTAACAAGTATGTCCGATTGTTTTCAATCTTTATCTGCTGAAAAAATTAGTTCGAACTTAAAACTTAATTAAAAAAAAATTGGATGAGTATTGATGTGAAAGATAAAAAAAATCCGATTGTTAGAAATGTTTCGGTATTTCTGCTCTAAAACTTGATGAAGAAAAAAGTGAATTATTTGAAAAATTTATATCATGCAAGTATTGTTATATAACATATTCATATTCACCCAGTACTAGAAACATGAATAAACATATTCGAATTTGTAATGGATTTAATTCTAGTTAAATTCATTTTATAATATCAACAGAAAATAATTCTTTACAATTAATTAACACATCAACATCATCATCTTTATCTTCTTCAAATAACAAAATTCTTGAATTACACAAAAAAATGGCAGATTTGTTAGCTGTATTTAGTTTTAGTTATTCCTAGTAGACTTCTGAAAAAAATTGTTTTTCGGTTTGGTTCGGTTTAAATGTTGAAAAACCTGAACCAATCCCATCTCTGATATGTACTTTGCCAATTAATATTACGGTAGAGTAAAATAAACTTTTGAAAAGTTTATCGCAGAATTCCTTGAAGGGCAAATCACCCGAGACTTGTATAAATGTCTGATACTACTATTCGCTCAGGTGAATAGTTAATATAGGTGAAATAAAAGTTAACTCTTCTTTTTACTCTTTTTGACGGTGTGATTTTCGTGCAAATTAATCATTTTCACGAATTAAAATTCTAATCGTTGTCAATGAATTTTAAAGAATATCAAAAATAGCATTTTTTTTCATTTTGTGTCATGATTTTTCTCAGAAAAAAAAATTCCTTAGAATAATGTAAATTACATCCTTTTTTTACTTACTACTTGACATTGCAGTGAATAATTGGTTACTTAGTCATAATAGTTATTATAGAAAATGCCTTATTCAATTGCAAAATATTGAAATATTTAATTGTATTCAAGAAAGCAAAGAGCTGAAACGTGTTAAATCTTGTTGAAAAATATAAATTAATGAATAACGAAGTAAAGTCATGTCAAGAAAAAAGAACGAAAATGTATATTTTAACTTGAATTTTTGCTACGTTTTAGCACAGTCAAAATTTTGGGGATGTTCAAACTGATAAACACAATTAAATTTTAAAGAAACTACTTGTTTCAACAAATTCATACGTTCTTAATACGTTTAAATGCATTTCTCTGGAGATTTTATCTGCCTGTGAAAAGGGCTCAATCATATTAGAAAATATCAAATCGGATAAATTTGCGGGACTGTCTCGTCCTACTTTACTTTGAGTAATGCAGCTTAATTGCAACTCAACTTGGAAAAGTGAATTTCTGATCTCGTATATCAGATCATTTTCTTAGTTTTAAAGCATAAAATTGATTATTTCGTATGACGAAGTTGATTTTCATACTTGTTAAGAATTTTATCGAATGTTGGTTTTTTGAATTTTTGTGTTTCTCAAACTAATGTCATGTATACTTGCGCAATACTAATTTATTTGAAAGCTTATTCATAAACACAGTGACACGAAAGCTTTTGCAGGTATATTCCAACTTTTTTCAATATCAGTTTTTTCACTGAAAAAAAAATGCTGCTGATATTGATGACGCATAATACCAACATGATTTTTTTCATTTTCTGACGTATATTGATTACAATAGAATTGCAGAACAAGACTCTTGGATATTTCCGTACTGCCTTCGTGGGAGCAGACTTGGTTTTGTTAGCAGATATATATGGAGCGTGTCACATACCTGAATAACAGTTATCACAAGACTTACAATACATATTTTTCTTTTTTGTTACTAACAGGTAAGAGAATATTGTTATTGACTACAGAGATAGAGAAATACTCTTTATTTTTTACAAGAGTTATATATGTTAGAGGCTAGTAGAAGGGTGTGGATGTGACGAAAATATCCACTCCTATAGCTACCTACATCCACACTCACCCTGAAGTAATAATGTTGCCAATGTCATAGATACATAAAACATTGAAATTTCTATCGATCAATGTAAACTATATTTACTTTTCGCATAGGATTTGATCAATAGGAATTTAGACAAAACATAAATGTCATCAGAAAGAGTTTACATGACACAATCGAGTGATTGTTCATAATTCACATTAAACAGGAATAAAAAAAAATTTCATTTGAATTAATAGATTCGTTAATTATGTAGAGCAATAATGCTTGCATCGAATAAGTTCAACATCAGGCTTGAAGGTCATCTGTAAGTGCCATGAAAGCTGCAAATAAATGTGATCATTTTTATTCTGTTCATTAGCTCATTGTACGATTGATGAAAATTTAAATCTTGTGATTAAATCATTGGCAAGCTGTGTTTTTCAATATATACGGAAAGACAAATTGAATTTCTCAGTTTCTTTTATTCGGATTCATTGCTTTCATATTGCGATTCAAATATGATTTTATACTTATTTTTTTTTAGGAATCTCTTCTTAAAATAAACAATAACAATCGTGAACAATGCCAGTAAGTATTACTAAACTGTTTAGCAATATTTCTATTTTGTTTTTTTTGACTAATTCAATTTTATTTATTTATTAGAATCCTGATAATGATGACACTCCCACAAGCGTTGAAGCTCAAGACAATCCTATTAATGTTTATTCTCCATCTGAAGTAAGTCGTAAACATCAATTGTTAAGTTTACTTAGTATACACTTTTGATTATTTCAAAGAAGTGAATGAATAAAACGAACGGCTAATCATTGTAATACATTGAACAATCAATCGAATAAATCTCAACATTGGATTATAATCTCAAAGGCTTTATGAAATATATTATGCTTGTTTTGCATTTCAATGATCAATCAGTCAATCATTATTTTGTGTGCAGTAAATGACCGTACTAAATTATTGTAAATAACAGCATGTTTGTAAAGTTATAAATAAAGTGGTGATCTATACATATCAATAATAATCACACATCATTGTATAAGATCCATAGAATGCCTGTTCAGGGTGAATGTGGATGTCGGTAAAAAGAAGACACACACACACTTCGTTCTTAATTTTCAACAAAATGCTTCATTCTTCTAAGGCAGAAAAGCTATATCTAGTAAAACGTAGTAGATATTTAATGCTTTTATTCATTATTTATTTCTGTCTTACTTTTACTGTTCCAGTTGTCAATGTGAGAAACATGCGTTTTGACCGTTTTGAATAATCGATACACATTCAGAAAAAACCTACTCTCTTTAAATAGGAGCTGATGCACTTGTACGCTATTACACTATTTGCATATTTACTAGTGTATATAATTACTTGTCCAAACATTACAAAAATCAATATAGGTTTGATACCTGTGCATATGTGTACTGGATTAAAGAATATTACTCATATTTTTCTACCGTAATGCATAATTATTACAGCTCGATGAAAACAAAAAAAAAATATGATTCATTAAATAGTAATAAGGTAGTGAGGAACTACGTTTTTGCTTCGCAACATATGACGAAAATCTAAACTTAGCATACCTGATGGACAAAAATAGTGGGTCATACCTTATCAGTAGATCAATGCATATCTACTTCCGTGACGTTCGTTAATTTTGACAAAACGAACTTCAATATATTTTGACTAATTCAAGTTGAATATGTCAAAAAAAAAGCTTTTTTTTTGCTGCACAAACTACATAGAAAACA